CGCGGCCGGTGCATGCGGGGCGCTGGGGGCCGAGCTCGGGTCCCCCGCAGCCACCGGAGCGAGTGACCCGCGGGGGTTTTGTGCATCCCCGCCATGTCCTCGTCCAGCTCCTCGCAAACCCCCCCGTCCCACCACCAGCCCCCGCCGCAGAGGATGAGGCGCGGCGCCGCCGGGGCCCCCACCGCCGGCACGGCCGGGGGCCCCGGTAACGGCGCCGGGGGAGGCTCGGCGGGGACCAGCCGGCTGCTCCAGCCTATCCGAGCGACCGTCCCGTACCAGCTCCTGCGGGGCAACCAGCACAGCCCGACCCGGTCCCCCTCCGCCTCGGTGGGCAGCAACACGGGGCCGGGGGGCGGCGGCGGGGGTCGCGGCGGAGGCAGCCCCCCACCGCCGCCCAGCGCGACGCCGCCGCTGGCGGCGGCCAGCGGCGGAGCGGAGCCGGGCAGGGTGAAGGGCAGGCAGCGGCGGTCGCCGGAGAGCGGCGGCAGCAGGAGGAGCAGCTCACCTGAGAGACGGAGCCCCAGCTCCCCGGTGTACAGAGGTAAAGCACTGGGAGAAAGCCGATCTCACTTCCCTGCCCCACGGGGGTGCTGGCCGGGCTGGGGCCGCCCAGCCTCCGGGCACCCTGGGCTCTCTTTTCCGCTGTCGGACTGCGCCCTGCCTCTCCCCCGGGCCAGCTGGGGTGGGACACCGGGGGACTCTGGGACCGACGGGAGGAGCCCCGCCGGAGCCTTAGGGAGCGGGTCGGGGGGCGAGGGTGAGCCCTAAATCCCCCCTAGGGCAGGTGTCGTGCCCGGGTTTGCACTGCCAGGAAAGGGGGGGGGGAAAGCACTTCGTTCTGCTACCCTCCAGCGGGATGGGGGGAGGCGACCCCTGAAATGTCATCCTCCTTCTCGGGCAAGGTGAGGATCCTGCTTGGGAAAAACGCCCCCGCGCCGGCCTCGGGAGGAGCGGAGCGGGGTCGAGCCCAGGGGCCGCCGGCGTCTCCCCTCCCCGGGGGAGAAGCAGTCGGGGGCTCCGGCGGCGGTGCTCTTGCCGCTTCTAGCACTGCGCTCGGGCTCTGGCAGCGGAGGTGTGTAATAGGGAAGGGAGCCTAAAATTAACCCGCTTCCCTGTCTCCAGCTGTAACTGTCTAGTAGGGGTGATAATGATTTAGATTCATATCTGGGGTGTCACAACCCAGTTCTGAAGTGTGTGTTAAAACCAAGCCTCAAATGCTCTTCCTTTCTGCAGAGCTCGGTTTCTTAAGGGACTTGCATTTTTGTAAGATCGTAGGTTAAAAAGATGTGATGTTTCCAAGCGCAGGCTCCAAAACAAGGAAATTCCCGTATTGAGGTGCTTGAAAACAAGTCTCTCTCCTTGTGATATTTAGTACTGAATCCTTGAGACAGTAAAAAACTCTGCGAACCAAAACCTGCTACTAACCAACCCTCAGTGTAGCCAAAATAGGCCTGTAAAGTTTAAAATGTAAAATTGATTCCCAGAAAGTCCAACTTAACCTGTGTCAGGTTGTCTGTTAAATTATTGAATGTGTTAAAGTGGCAGTGGCCATCTTACCTCCCCCACTCCTTTCTGCCTTCCCCCATCATTCGAGCAGTTGAATGAATTGGACTAAATGCACTTTTTATGTTGTCCTGCTGTAGCTATCAGGTATCGCACATCATCTCTTTCTGGGAATGCTTTCTGTGGTTCAATACCACTTGCTTTTTCTGTCTCTTCCATAAGTCTTACTGTTTGTGATTTCTGTGGCAAATTGTGGTCTGTGTTGAGTGTCAGCATGTGTTGTAGCACTGGAATCTTACCTTCTTTCCTCTTTAGTTTTTATTTGTAGTAAACCCTTGCTGTCTGTAGTATTTGCAACTTGGGCAGATCTGTCATCAGAATTGTCCTAGGTCAGGGGCAGCATTTTACAAATGAGCAAAATGTCGCTGCCAGTTACAAATGAAGTTAATTTGCCCTATGCATCTGCTTATGCAGATGACCTAATTGGTCGTGTTATAATCTGAAGAGACATTGTAATGTGTTTTTCAAGAAGACACTATTTCTGCAGAGGGTTTGGCATGCTTGAAAATGGAACTGAGCTTCTGTGGTTTTGATTCATTCAAGCTTTATTTAAAATTTTAAAGACAGTATTTTTCTGACTGTGTGAAGCACTAAATGTAGATTTCCCTTTTCCGTATTAAACCTTTGGAAAATGCTAATGGGAAACTAGGAAAAAACGAAATATCCGTGTGTATGAGTAGTGATGGTGCTCATGATGAGCAGTAAATTACTTAATTATGGTAACCCGGAGGAAAACATTGTAGTGGTGCAGTGTATAGAGTCTACGCTTAAGGTGTATTGAAGAGGGAGGAATATGGACAGTTACCTGCAAACCATAAAAATACTGCAGAGCTGTGAAATACTTCATTAATGTGTATGCATTTTTTATTGGAGGGGAAATTTTAATTTTGGAGAGTGGTTTCAGTCTTCTTCATCTGTGGGCTATTTTAGTCTTGATAAATCAGACTATAAATTAGTAGTGAATGACTTTTCTGTCATTAAACTTGTTTGAGCTTGCCTCCTGGTGAACTGCGTCAGCAGCACACAGAGCTTGATTTGGTTTAATGAGTGCAGTGTATAAAATCATAAACAGTCCATCGAGAAATGCACCCTGTAATCTGTATGCACTGCAAAGAATTCGTTCCCCCTCCTCCAGGTCAAGCCAGCTGCTGCTGCAGAAGCTGACATCCTTTAGCAAATCCTGAATGAATGAATGAAAACAACGTGATCGCCCTAATAATGACCACAATTGCACACGTCAACAGCTTTATTTTACAGAAATACAGGCACCATTTTCTAGCGGGTGAGAGTAATAAGATACTCTATTTCTTCAGTCTTGCAAATGAAAAAAGGTTACCAAACCTCCCCTTAGTTTGCACACCCCCCCAAAAAACTTGAGCTCTTTTTACACAATTTGGAATATAGGTCCATGCCATGGGGCAGTATTTTGTCTTTGTTTCCCTGCTTGTTCTCAGCATTTTAGTACATGACATGTGGACACTAAAAACATGTTTGTAATCTATATAGTGATAATAGTATATAGAAAATTGATTGATGAACTAGGGGACTATTGCAGTAATAATGGAGGACTTGAAAAAATTTAAATGTTCCATTTTCAGACATGGACCATTTTGCTGTGGCTTGCTAAACAATGCTACTCCAGCTATTTATAGTTGTTATCAGTATGCAGGTCTTGGGGAAGTGGCTTGATTAAGTTTTTTTGTCAGTTTTTCAAAGCCATTTCCCTCCCACTGCTGTAAAATGTGAGTTTAGGCTCTAGGTTTAATCCTGTTGTTTTTCTCACCAGTCCAGGAGATGTGTTTGTCTTTGGCTCTGCAGTCTGACTTGGATTGTTTCACGAATATGCTTGTTCTGGAGCTGCTTATGATTCCGATGGATAGATGTTATTCTCTTAAGACACCTGTCCCTTCCCTAACTCCTTTCAGCCTTTTTTGGTATAGATGCCTTGAACTGGCTATCCTACTAAGCCATTTTGCGTGGATTTTAGTGATTTGCTAGAGGTTCTTTAATGAAGGAGATTTTTGTGAAAACACTCCAGCTTTGAGCCTGTACAGGTCAGAGCAACTACCATTGCAGGCACTGACATCATTACTACATGAATGAAAGCAGCACGGTCTGTTTTTTCTCCCATCATCATGTTTTCTACCCCTTCTTTCTAGTATACTGTAAAGGTTTTTGTTCTGTAGCAGCACCCTGTGTTTTTAGGACTGAAACTTTGAATAATATGATATTTTTCTTTTAAGCAAATTTGAGGATTTTTTAGTTGTTTGGAAACCATCAATACCAACAGTATTTGATTAGTACTGTTACTGAATGGGTGAGAAATTGTGACTGTTAAATGTATATTTTTAAGGTGCTGGAAGAAGAGGGGTAAAACCTGATATCATAGGATAATCTGCAGTGTGCAAGTCTACACCTTTCCTCTTTCTTGAAATGTGTTCATTCCTTACTTGTAGATATTTTTTATAGTGTGTGTTCATGTTTTGGAGAGCTGGCAGTGGAAAAAGCATCTGTTTGAATATAACAACACGTGATTTTCTTAGAGGGAATATATCTGTTAGATCTCTGAGTGCATAAAAGTAATGTCAACAGAATCTGAAGCTATGTGGTTTATGACAAAGGATATTCCGGTAATAATCCAGAAAAGCCAAACCCTTGGACATGTCAGCTAAAACTTGCTACTTGTCTGTGGACGCATCTTTTAAAGAAAAAAGCAAGTTGTTTTCCTCCTTGCCTTACCTGGATAAAATCAGAAGTTTCTGCTGTTATGTAAAGTAGCTTGTATAAATATGAGAGTGTGTTTCCTGTTTAGTTTCTTTTTTTCATGATATATTAATATTTTGTATAAAGGAGGGTGTATCCTTCTCTGTGATTCGAACTCAACACTGCTCTCACCAAATACTTTGATTTTTTCAGTGTTAACCCTGGTGGTACTGTAATATTATGCTCCTATATTTTTCTAACTTTCACTTAGACATTTTATAGTACAAACTTTTTTCTATTCCATTTCCAAATTTTAAAGGCAAACATTAGTTTTAAGGACATATGAAAAATACTGTATTCAATTTGGCTGTTAAAGGTTCCCAGTGTCTTTTACTTCCCAAAATAACTCCTGAAGATTTGCCAGTGTAAGTGAGAGAAAGAAGTTGCAAAAGATGAAAAACAACTGCATAACCCAGTTCAGTGTAAGAAGTACATATATCTACTTTAGGCTAGTGGAATGAGGAGTGGAGTAAAACAAGAAGTATTGTTGACCTCTAGACTTGTAAGGGATATCAATATTAAAAAAACACCCAAAATTTGTACTTCAAAAGGTAGAACTATTTTAATATCCTGGATTCCAACCATCCAATATTTTGGCATCATAAGCATTTATACCAGAGATCAAGAGGATCTTTCCTTTATTTCTAGCAAATGTAGGTAAGGAAGTAATTTTTGTGACGCTTCCTATTTCCTGATCCCTTAATAATAGCAGTATTTCCATAATTGTATGGTCAAAACAGTTTTGCTCCAGCTTTGTCCCTCTCTCTTCCCAAAATAACTTTCATTGGAATATAATATGATGACATAAAAGACGCTGGCTAAATTTGTTCCAGTTGTCCTGAGCTCAGAGCCTTTTTAGTTACATGTTTTAACATGACTGTAAATAAGAATGGTGTATTAGATGTCTTTAATGAATAATGCTTTATGAAACAAGTTAATTGAGCTCCTTTCAGGTGTTAAACTACAGGAAGGAAAAATAGGAAGGTATTTTCTCTGTTCAACTTGAATAATATTGTAGCAAGGCTTTAGCTTTGAAGACAGAACCTCCCTATTGCATGGAAAAAAAACAGCTTAAGAAGTATATGATTTTACCTGTTTTAAATCTCTACTTGACCTTTAATTCTTATTCTTTGGACATAAGCAAGTATTAGTGTGTTACATACAGCCAAAGTGAGGTTACTTGCCAACGTCTGTGTATAGTAAAATAGTAACAAA